GCAAGCTGAGAAGGTGCAATTGGTCATGGCCCTAAAACCCGTCAGATCGGAGAACGTTGAACACACTGGAACAGGTGTACAGTATTTTCAGTACGAAGGCGGATAAAGGTAAGGGCACAGTAGTTTGAAAAAACAAGAGTGACTATCTTCAACTGGTCAAGGATATCTAGTCGATGGAGCTAACCGAGAAGTTACCAATGGAACTATTACTTCAATGATGAATAGAAGTTGAAGTTGGTAGATATTTGATATCCATAATGAAACATTTAGGACAGGTTATACGGCTCAACAACGATTCCATGGACTGTCTAAAATCTACATGGCACCTGTTCCGATCAGACAAGCAGTGGGAAGTATAGTCTCGCCATCTGTAATCCACACACACGGCAAAATTGATCACATTCATTACGTGTTTGCACACCCTTGCCAATGAAGTCACATGCTTTGCTTTGGAGATGAAGGTAGACCCCGTGAGTTTTTACGTCATCTGAATGTACACAAACATCACCAGGGGCGAATGCTTTGGAGATAATCAAGAGTTTTTACTGACGGACACGACACCAATGGAACGGACGCGGCTTCCGGTGGGTGAGTGACATAGTTGAGTGCACGGGAGTGTGTTTGCATCTTGACCAGTTTGTTTTTGACACAGCTGCTTACTCAAAGGGTTTTCAACAACTTCTGAGGAGTTTATGTGTAAACAAAGCCTACTGCAAATGGCACTCCAAACGGAACATGCGACGACCCGACGCAGCACATTCAACTGGAGCGAACCGTCATGAAAGAGACCATGGAATGGATTCGGTGGAGTATACCGTCACGACTTCATTTGTATGCAGCTGAGAACATTTGTCTACATCTGTCCATTTCGCGCTCAAGTAGGACATGAGATTAACGGGGACCGGAGGACTTTGCTCACCTGATGAGCTCCAGGAAGAGCGAAACCGGTTGTCAAGTGTCTATGTGTTTTCAGCATCTTTCTGTGTAATGTATTAAAACGGTTATTCTAGGGAAGTGGGTGTACGACCAATTTACCTTTCGCGTAAGAGGTGGGGATGTTTTTCTTTGCGGAGTTTGATTCACGAGTCAACTGGAAACTGTGTATATTCTCCTTTCTAACCGAAACTGTTATAGGCTTAAGAGCTCTTGGAAGAAGCCCAGTTAATAGTTGTTCAGTGCATTTAACAACAGCTCGTCCGTGCAACTGAAAGGCATTCAGCTAGTCTATTCTTACACTTGGGCTCAGGCAGGTACAAAAAGCGGCTAAGCTATTCCTCAAACAGGGGACTTGTTTAACCACTCAGCAATGCTTGCCCGAAGATTCTTTCAGTTGATCCGTGCGACCGGTCCCCTGAAACCACCCGTGAGTGAAACCATCAAGCATCAGAATGGAACGACCATTTCGAATAAGGAAGAACGCCTTGACCGGTGGGCTGAATACTTCGAGCAA